TTATTATTATTATTATTATTATTATTATTATTTTGGGATTAAAGGGAAAAGACTTACTCTGGAAAAGACACATAAGGTGAGAGAAGTGATTGACCTTTGATTAATAAGCAAGGGATGCCACTCATGTGAGTGAATACCCAACTCCTCTATTCAATTGATGAAAGTTTATCAAACATCTACCAGTTGCCAGATGTAGTATAAGAGACTGAGAAAAATAACATGAGATATGTATGCTCGCAGCTCTTCAGACCCCCCTCTAGAATGAAGCAACTATTTTTTCTCCAGAAAAGGTGTTATCTGATCTTAAAGGTTGAGTAAATATTTGGCAGGGATTTTTGAACAAAGAAAACAGTATGTTCCTAGGATAGTGGCATAAAGGAAAGGGTGTGGCAATGAGCATGGGGACAGCTCCAAGTCCAGAAAGGTTATAGACTGGCAAAGAGAGAGTGGGAAACGGAAGTGTGAAACGCAGTGAGAGGCAAGTTTCGGTGAGATTGGGGGGGACCATGTATTCTTGCTAAGAAGTTTGGTCTAGAGGGTATAGCTTTGGTTCACAAAGAGGACTTCTGGATGTTGTTTCTTTTTATTTCTTTAGACATCCCTGTGTGCTGAGTCAGCCTCACTTCTTAAATCCAACTGAGCTGTAGTGTTTCTTCCCATGTAAGTTAAGTAGATATGGAGAGATATTGATTTCTCACAGCTGGTGTTACTATTATGTGCTCCATGGCACTATAGACTGATCTAATAGTGTTTAGGAGTAAAGTATGTTCAGGTTTGACATCTAATATTTTCTGGGATCAAAGATGTTTTAAAAAACTAATTAGAGAATTTTGATGTCATTTCAACTAATTAGCTATTATAATTCTTTCCATCCCTATCATTATGTGTCACCTTCCGGCGGAGCACCAAATATACGCAGACATTTGCTTAGCTTTTTATTTAGTAGTGAGCATGACATGCCTCTGACTTATGAAAATGACATGGAACAAATAGAATACAAAGTCTCTGTCCTCAGGGACTCGAGTTTCTGAACAGAATTAGTCTGTGACTCAGCCTCACTTCTTATGTGTTGGGCAGGCATGTTGCTTCTACTTTTTTTTTTAAGTTTCCTCTTTTTAATTTTTTCTTCTTGTTTTATTTGCATTTCATTTTTAAAGAATTATTTGTTTTACTTTATTTATCATCATCATTATTATTTAATTTACTACAGAGCACATGTGCTCACCAGAAAGAGACAGAGAGAGAGGGGAAGAGAGAAAGAGAGAAATCAAGCTGCCAGGTCTGGGACTTGAACCACAGTTGGCCATGTGAGATTCCTGCACCTTAACCACCACGACACCTGTTGGCCCCATTTTATTTGCATTTCATCACTGTACATCTTTGCAGCATACAAAAAGAATCTTCCCAGCATGAATACACCGTGTATTATTCCAGTCAAAGATATTACCATAATTCCAATCAATAGAGTCGTATTTTTCTTCCTTCCAGAAAAGTGAATTTTCTATGGGACTTTAATATGGGGTTAGGGGTGACTTGGTAGTTTGGGAGAATGGGTGGATTTGTGGGAACAAAGTCAGTGGAGACAAATTCTCTTCCCACTGACTTCATGCATAGTACTATGTCTTCTAGTAGCTGGCATTCTTGGTAGAGCAACAACTACATATACACAGACAAGATAAATTCAATTA